TTTCATCGGAAAGAAATTATACTGGAAATTAACTAACGACCAGAGACGTAACAAATTGGTGTCAGAGAGTGGGATAAAAAAAAACAGATGGAAATGGGCAAATCAAACTACAGCTTAGCAGATTTGATGCCAGCAATACAAGAACATCAACAGAAACAAGAAGAATGAGACAAAGCCCTATGACAAAGAACAATTGAGCACAATGGGACCAGTTGAAGCTTGAAGATGGTATTCTTCTCCAGAGATGGGAACTGCAGATAGGAAAGTGACGACCTGGCAAATGGTTATACCGAGAAGGTTACGGGAAGTTGTGTTGCATCAATCCCATGTTACTGTAACAGGAGGACATCTCGGAGTTAAGAAAACATTGAGTTACCTACGACAGAGATTTTACTGGATAGGTATGATGCAAGATGTGGAAGAATGGTGCAGTACATGCAGTACATGTTGTGCTAAAAGGGAACCCAAGCATAAGAGACGTGCTCCAATGAAGTTATATCAAGTTGGCGCACCAATGAAAAGAGTAGCCATTGACATTGCTGGTCCTTCGCCCCAAACTCGTGTAGGATACAAGTACATTTGTGTGGTGATGGATTATTTCACCAAGTGGCCTGAGGCATATGCAATACCAAATCAGGAAGATACAACTGTAGGTTCGGCTATTAGTGATTTCCTCTTCAGATTTGGTATGCCATACGAACTGCATTTAGATCAAGGCCTTGACTTTGAATCAGCTGTGTTCCATGAATACTGCAAGTTGTTTGGCATACGAAAGACCAGAACAACGCCACTTCACCCACAGTCTGATGGGATGGTAGAAGAGTACAACTGGATACTTGGACAGGAATTGGCAAAATTTTGTAATAGCCGCCAGATGACTGGGATGTCTTACTTCCTCCACTGTTGATGGCCTATAGGAGTGTAGAGCATGAAACCACTGGATACACTCCACAAAGTTGATGTTTGGTCTGGAACTTTGGTTGCCAATGAATCTGTTAACAGGACATCCACCTTATGAAAATGTGTCAGAATTCGTGAAAGTGTTATCAGAAAAAGATGGATAATATTCACCATCAAGTGCATTCAAACTTGAAAACGTCTGCTGGTTTGATGAAGCTGTGTTATGATAACAGATCTCTTGAAGTCAGCTTTGTACCAGAAGACAAGGTGTGGTTGTTAATCCCACGAATACCAAAGAGAAGTCTCCTGAGTTGTCATATCCATGGGAAAGCCCATATGACATAGTGGATTGTCTTTCAGACGTGACTTTCTGGATAAAATGTGGTCGGTGAGGTAAGCCAAAGGTGGTACATGACAACATGCTTTGGCATTATCACGGTCCAGGACATTTCAGTTGGAAGGAAGTGAACAATGAAACAAATGGCTCTGCTGGAGACGTGTCACCTGAAAAAGCCACTGTTGAAGACGAAACTTTACCCAGTTTTGAGAAGGGAAACAGTGAAGCCCTTGATGAAGTTACTACCACTGATGTGACTGTTGCCGATAATAGGACAAATCCCGATGGAGCAAATGTACCCCACGTAAAGAAGCAGCCAACGAGATGGAGACCAGTATGGAAAAAGATACGTCCTGTAAAATTAAGAGACTTTGTTGAATTTTAATTTTGTGTTTGTAAATTATGTACATTTAATTAAGTTATTGTTAGTTTTCTATTGGTTTAATCTAAGTGGCTATTGTTCGGGACGAGCAATACTAAGGAAGGGTTAGTGTTACGACAGCGTTAGAATGCGTTCTAGAAAGATCGGGGAACATCACGAATAATCCAGTATTTGCTATACGCCCTCTATTCTTGTATATATAAGTGTGCCGGACAATTAACCGGGATAGAATTGCAGACAGAGAGAGATAGATGCAGACAATTGCATAAAGCACGGTAGTAGGCGTGAATCGTTTGTTGTGAATTATAGCGTTTGTTAAGTTATAAAAGTGACTGTGGAAATTGAGTGTATTGCAAAGTTGTATTGAGAAAGAATAAAATAGTTTTATTTAAGAAAGGACTTGTGTCGCTAAAGTTTCATCAGAAAGAATTATACTGGAAATTAACTAACGACCAGAGACATAACAATATGTATCTTTGATAGACGTAGAATGTTATACATCATGATAACATAATATAGTGTTGCGTATATGCTTGTTTGTTAATTTCTGGTAAAAGTCCTTTCCGAGGAACTTCAGTGAACAAATTCTTTCTTGATTAAACCAGTTTATTCTTCCTCAATATAACCTTTTAGTACCCAGTAATTCCACAGTCAGGTTTCTTATCATTCTAAACTGGTCTCCATCTTATTGGCTTCTGCTTTACGTGGGATTCATCTTCTCCATCAGGAAATGTCCTATCATCGGTAACAGTCACATTACTGGTAGTAACTTTATTAACGGCTTCACTGTTTTCCTTCTCAAAACCAGGTAGAGTTTCTTCTCCAACAGTGGCTTTTTCAGGCAATTTTTCGTAAGGTGGGCGTCCTGTTAACAGATCTACTGGCAATCTAAGCTCTCGACCAATCATTAACTTTGCTGGAGTATATCCAGTGGTTTCATGCTCTGCTGTTCTGTAGGCCATCAACAGTGGAGTGAGTAAGACATCAAAGTCATCTGGCGGCTATTACAAAACTTTGCCAATTCCTGTCCAAGTGTCCAGTTGTACTCTTCTACCATCCCATCAGACTGTGGGTGAAGTGGCGTTGTTCTGGTCTTTCGGATGCCAAACAACTTGCAGTATTCATGGAACACAGCTGATTCAAAGTTACGGCCTTGATCTAAATGCAGTTCGTATGGCATACCAAATCTGAAGAGGAAATCACTAATAGCCGAACCTACAGTTGTAGCTTCCTGATTTGGTATTGCATATGCCTCAGGCCACTTTGTGAAATAATCCATCACCACACAAATGTACTTGTTTCCAGAACGAGTTTGGGGCAGAGGACCAGCAATGTCGACGGCTACTCTTTCCATTGGTGCCCCAACTTGATATAACTTCATTGGAGCACGTCCCTTATGCTT